CAGCACAAATTACGTCCCGGTGACGTAAAAACCGGGTGTATACGCGGAATACCCGTGTACGTTTATCAACGTCCATAAGAAAAAACATCCCACCAAAAAACATAAAAAACATGAAATGTATGCATTTTACTGAAGCTCCAGAAATAGGAAAAAAGGGAAACAAAAAAAACAGTACAAGGTTTTTTAGAGGATATGATGGCTTGTGGTTTAGGAAGCACATTTTAATTCAATAAATTCCAATGGGCTCATTATAATGTACTTAAAATGAGCAGAGAGGGTTGAAATAAAACGGGAATGGATTTTCCACCGTGAAGAGTGCTGAAATTTGGGGATTCAATCAGAAGCTATTATATCTTTGTTTCTTTGATTTTATGTTGATCATAGTCTTCACACCTAGATAGTACTGTCCAGGAAAAATGGGGTTTACTTGCTTGCAGAAGGTCACATGGTTATCTGGCAACAGATGTATGGATGTTTCTTTGTATTTCAAATTTGATAAATATTGCTTCATTGGTGAAGAAATGTCTCCTAAAAAACTCAATATGATTTTTTTGATAACCAAAACATTTATTCAAAGAAATATATCTAGATTCCCCTTCCAGAAGAACTAAAGATTCTCAACAATAGCTAAAAATGTGATTTATCCAACTAGATTAGCAGGATGGATTTCATGAGTGGGGAATACAAAATATCTCAAGTTCTATGGCTTTGAAATAGAAAGAGAAATAGAACATGACACTGTGGTTTTGTTGGAGGAAGTTGTGCAAACAGATACATGTTTCTGGCGCCCTGAATGAAATTAGAATCTTGGATTTGTCACCAATTTTCAAACAAGATATTTCTGGAACTGTTAAGGGGAACCAGGCTATAGGAGCTGAAAGTCACAGATGGTTAGTAATGTGATAGTGACTGATCACAAAGATAAAGAGGATATTTAAGATTCACTGAGTGGAAAGCATGGCAATATAAACTACATAGACCAAATATGCAACTATTTTTTATGGAAGCATACCTGGTTATAAGCCTATCTCCACAGGAACCTTATGGGATTTGTAGTGTGGCCCCTTGTTACATCAGATGTGTATTATTGTTAAGAATAGTATGCATCACAGTGTCTGAGCTGCTCTTTTATTTTTGGAAATTCAATTGGAGTCTAATTTGGAGATTTTGATCCATTTTTGTGGAATCTGGTTGGCACCTCATTGTGTGGGTTGGGTGCATGTATCTGGCTTGCTGGAGAGTTTCCTTCCTAGCTTTTAGCTTTTTTATAACCCCTTCTGGATGAAGTGTAGACATCCAGAATTGAAGCTACATGAAAATATGGCCTGGAGCCCTAGGGCTCATGTGGCAAAATATTCTGGGAACCAGCAACCAATAAGGAGGCTCCAATCCAGCAAGCATATATGCCTCCAAATTAAAACACTTGCTTCCACAGTGACCTGCCTGAACTTCTTGAGATGTGAGCAGACCCTTTTCCTGATGAATGTATTGTTGCTCAATAATGGCTGATGTTAATAATTTTTCCTTTTTCAGGGACAACTAGGGCGACATGGCCGAGTGGTCTAAGGCGCCGTCTTAAGGAGTTCGCCTGTTCTGGCACAGGGGTATTCGGCGGTCTTCGGGCGTGGGTTCGAATCCCACTGTCGTCATACTTTTTCTCCATATACGCGGTTACGTCCGGGAGATTCGATGCAGGATTGATGTCATCATGTGTTATTATTGATTTGACTTTGCTTTGGGCGACTGTCCAGCCTAGCAATGGGGGGGGGGGATTCACTATGTACACATAGCAGTCATTACAGCTAGCCACACGATCGAACGAGACAAAGAGGACAGAAACACTTTGTTTGCGATGATAAAGAGGAAGAAGGGTAACACTGTGATCGAAATGATTTTACCTCATGGTCAGAGTGGTGTCGAGAGGTTTGATGAATGAGGATGGAAAGGTTGACTCACATGGATCCAGGTGATTTCAGTTCATTTGCAAAAGCTCAACTGATCAACGAGTGGGTTTTTTGGTTTTCTTTCAAGCAAAGGGAAGCAGGTGACATGTAGTATGTGAAATTAGAGAGGCTGGTGCTCGCAAATATGATCATGTTGATGGAGTGGCATCATTTCCATTTGAAGTCAACTCCTGACCCTGAGAAATCGAAGGTGAGGTGGCAAGATTGGTCAACATTGGTCTGGATTGTTACGCATGAATTAGGAGGGAGCATTGACTGACCTGAGCCGAGTCGTGAGGCAAAGATCGGTCACCCTCTGCGCCTCCCGGACCTCGCCTACCACCTCGACCTGTACCTCGACCTTGAGGATGATGGCCTCGGGCTGACCTTCCTCTATGTCCAGAGCCTCTATGACTATTCCAGGAATTCCGTCCGGGGTTGGCGTTGGTCATCGAATCGGTATATGGACGAGATCGATTCCAATCCTAGGAATAAAAAGTATCAGTTTTCTAGCGTCAGGAAATACTTGTTAAGCCAACTGGGTATAGCTCCTCTGACATCTTCTGTCTTTTCCAAATCCCACTCTCGGCCTTGCATTTTCTTCAACTTTCGATCAGCCACAGCTTTGCGGGCCGCATCAATCTCTTGTTGTTGAGCACGTTGAGCTTCGATCTGGCCAGGCAAAGATGATAATGATGATGAAATCAGGGCACGGAATGATTGCAAAAGCATTGATGAAGGGCACGCGCTCGCATACCGTGCGTTGACTCTTGAGTTCAATTTCCCGGTATTCGGCAGCGTCCTGATCGGCGGCCTTCTTCTGCTCCATTAGTTGGGCATTCTTCAACGCCATGGCTGCCATTTTCGCCTCCAAGTCAGCTGGCGAAAGCTTTTCCTGTCGAGACGAAGAGGCATCATAAGTCTCGATTGCAATCCCATCTCCGTGCAGATAATGTGTCGAATGGTTCTTTTGAAGCTAGGACGAACTCTGGGTAGATCAACTTGTCGTACGTAAGGTTGCCTCTTTGCAGGTCCTTTGCCCGACGATGGTTCGGCCTGTTTATCTGAACTTGAGCCTTTTCTTCTGCTGTTCTTCGCAGCACGATCGTCATCGAAATGTTCTTGTCCCTCGGTCTCAGCTTGGTCATGGTCCTCCTCTGCTTTTTCGTCCTCGTCTTCGTCATCATCGTCGTCATCGTCGTCATCGTCGTCATTATCGTCATCATCTTCATCTTCGGAGTCGCCGGAGCTCGACGAAGCAGGCTGGCCGCTCTCTTTTGATTTCTCACGAGCACTCTTGACATAATGCTGGTTTCCCTGGGTAGTGTCAGTCGACTTGCGCCCTTTAGGCGCAGCACGCGAGCGATCATCATCAGCAGAGCCCTGGTGCGAGCGTCCTCTTGGGCCTCGAGGCACGTTGGAACCACGTCGACGCCCACCCGTTCTCTTTCCCCGAGCCGAGCGACTTGTGTTATGCACATTCACTCGTTCGGTTTCGTTTTGATTTCTCGAGTCGCCATCCTCACATGGGGATTTCTCATTCGATTCAGATTTTGCGCCTTTGTTGTTTCATTCCAGAAATAAAGGATGAAATGTTCAGCTTCTGTTGTATTACTCGCACCGTAGGGATAAGGTCTCTGATGATTAATTTTGGAATGCGGATCTATGCGCCATAGTACTTACGGCTATCGGCAACTATGGCAGGTTGAGAGTTCATGGCGTCGTTCTCTAGGTCATGCAAGGTGGCAGAGCCTGCAACCGACCCGTGAATATTCAAGTTGAGAAAAAACAAGAAGAAATGGTCGTGATCGGTTAACAAAGTGATGGAAAAAGCGAGTCAGCCCGTCTGCATAACTTTGGTAAGCTAGCCTGGTGGAGTGTACCTGCATTGTGATTTTGGAGTTCTGACATGGCTGTATTATGCTCTGTGGGTGGTTAGTGTTCTCGTCCGAAGTTGCCGTGTTCGATACACTCAACATTTACAAATCTGACAAAGGCGACGTGGCTTGCAACGGTCACTGTACACTGGAGCTCTTCCCGTCGCCTGGGACCCCCCTTCCAGATTCAAATGTGGAATTTCAATTTCCAGATTTTTCCTCCTTCCTCTTTCTAAAATCTAGAAATCAGACTCAAACTGTGGAAAACCTATTCATGGATTATCTCGAATTCTTTCAAAAGTCCTTCGACTTGGCCTCCTCTCACCATGTCAGCCCTACTGCAATCTAGAGGAGTAGACTGAACAGTAGTTGACATGCAGCATGCTCCAGCCAAGCTGCCATCCAAACTCCACCTGTTTGCATGAGTAGATGTTTTGGCACAGTCACTGTGCAGTCTGCACAGTGACTGTGCATCAAAGCTTGGTTGAATCACTTTTGGA